TTATGCTCTGACCATGCACAAAGACAGAAGAAAACAGCAAAAACTGCTTGCTGTCCTGGATAGACTGGAGACTTGACTTCTCCACACTTAGAAGAGAGGCGGAGAAGCATCACTGATAGACAGTATCATAACCACCTGCCGTGTAGGGCTGCTTCTCAAGTCTGTGCCAGGGAAAGGGTCTCCAGCCCTCCTGGAAACAGCAAGTGCTACTGGAAGACTAAAAACTGGAGATGCTCTGGCGATTCTTAGTGTTTTGGAGTCTCCTACCAAGTGTTCACAGACTGCAATACAGCCTTGGACAGCCACAGCTGGAAGTAGTCATTCATCAGGTGTTCTGCATCGCTGTGGAGTCAGCCACATCGCCTTTGTCCAGTTACTAGACTGGCATTCATGTCACTGGCACTATTAGTAACTGAAGCACTGAGTACTATAGGATATTGTTACCTGTGCAGCTCTCGGGACCCTCCAGCTGTGACTGGTATTTGTTGCTCTGGGCTACAATCCACAGACACACATCCTGCAACAACCACAGTCCCAAAGAGCTCATCATCCAGAGGAACAAGAGAGATTCAGGGAGGGAAAACAGTGACTGACGTCTGTTCATCTGTGACTGATAAATTTCACAGTTTATTCATGGGGAAATGGGATGTTTCTACCAGAAGCAGAAGAGGAAACCTTTTGCATTATCAAAATATTTACCAGTCTCCCTTCCTCCCAACGTTCAATGTATTGAACAATAAGGCTTGTCCCTATTTTGTTCTGCCTAACGAGCACTTTCTGTTACAGTATTAAGCAGTACATAAGGAAAAAGTCTCTATCTCCTCCCTCCACTGTCTTCTCGCCTCTCACAGCAAATGAATCAAAACCCAATTTAGGAATTGGTCAATATTAAGTAGTTCAGATGAAAACGCAGCTTGCAAGGACAATTTACTGCAGGTCAGTCCTGGCTCTCATCTCCCCAGGGAATCCTGGTCCCCATCGTAGCCATGGGCACCTGCAGGAGGCACGGGCTGTCCTTGCACAAAACTCTTGCTGTACACACGCTGTAAATCCAGTGCTTCACAACGTGCCAGATACATTGGCACATCCTCAGAATGGCTCAACTGGCTGCAGAGTGCAATATATCTACCCAGCTGGGAAAGGCTGTTCCATATAGACCCTCCTTAAGCCAAGGGGCCTTTGTGACATTAGAGATTGGACATAAAGGACTTAAAGGATCACTGAACGAGACGCATGTAAGAAAAGTGGTATTTTAATTCTTTTGCTTCCATGCATTCCCAACTAAAGTTTCACACCTCAAGGATTATAGCAGCTTATTTGCTTAAAAAATTTTTAAAATATGTATCTTAAATCTTCTTCCCACTCAATTACTCTATAATTGTTCTTGTGATGAGAAACAAAATCATGAGGGAAACAGAAGCAAATTCCAAGCTAATCAACATGGCCAATCCTTCTGTTCTGAATTTCCATAAAACAGGGGGGGCTGGGAGGGTATCCATGTTTTGCTATCACAGGACAGACAACTGGAACAAAGAATGCAACTGAAATGGAGGGATCTATATCCTGAGAGAATCCTGTAATACGTTGCAGCTCTTAAGGAGCTGTAAACCACAGACGCCCATGTTCTTACGATGATCTGGAATAAGATCATGTTGCACATGACCAGTTTCTGCAAAGATCAATAAAATATTTCCTCATGGCAACTCAACTTTGATAGTATGGTCTCACAGGATTTTATTATTGCTATTTCCAACTTCAACTAAAGCTTTCAAGGCTTCCTGCTTTGCTAGAAAACACACACACCACAGTAAAAGTAATTAAAAACTCAGTAAGCTTTACATTTCCTCTAAACCACTGCAGAGACCTCCTAGATAAAAGTGACACTCTTCAATCATCCCAAGCACTGCTTCCCTGTTGAAGTCCTGTAACAGCCAAACAAGAAATGATTTCTTTGATTCTTATTTCCTTCCTTCACTCCTCCTTTCCCTCTGTCTTTCTCTCTTCCCTCCCTGCCACAAACAGGAGGAACAGAAAAGCAAAGCATTACTAAGCAATGGAAACATTTGAAGGGCATTAGAATGTTCCCAGACTCACTACTCACTAGAGCTGTCCTGGAGGAGTGGTCTCCAACCTTTTTTGATGGCGCAAAAAGTAAAAACGTTTTTGAGCACGCACCTCCAATATATGCGTATTTATTTATAAATTATATACATGTCCTGCTGTACTACTATATTATGCACATTATAAAACATACACAAAAATAGAAATTAAAATGGATGAGAATGATGAAAGAACCACCACTAGAACAGCTGCAGAGCACTAAGTCTCGGGAGCTTTGTTACTGAGTCTGGAAGAAAAGTAGAGTTGGTCCAAAGCTATTATAATGCAACTACAGTAACATGCAGTTTTATTCCTCATTATAACCTCTAAATTGCGATCAGTCAAGGTGCTGAACATCAGCAGGCAATGTATCTGTGCTGCTTTTTAAACCTCACTTATGAAAAAAGGTTCTCCACTAGATCATGTTCTTCCACACGCTAACAATACTTAACAACCTCTCTCCCCCCGAGTATTTCTGCTTCTGGAGTTAATATCAGATAACTTAAAGTACACAATGCTTTCCTTTAAAATAAACTACTAGATCCACATCCTTCTATTCATGGATATCTTCAAAGAGCACAAGATACAAACTGATTCAGAGCTCAATGAGTAGGCTTTACAGTATTTTATGTCTTAATGCTGACATCTTGCCTTCCACAACTTTATGGTTTTTGGTTGTATTGAAAAATTATTTTTTGGGGGTATTAAAAATAAACTATTCAAACAAAATTTTTTTCTTCTCTTTCAAAGCAGATAAGCTCTAATCATGATTTGCTTTTTTAAATCACAGCTATCAACACTGCTTGTGCCAACTCTTTAGCAAAGTTACAGGACTGCAAGAAACACAGTGCACTCAAAAGCTGTTGGCCTTGGAGGACACAGAAGCAGTCTCCACTATTCAAAGGCTATTCTGTGCTCTCTTATTTATAATGGTGGCTTAAAGATGTTTAGCACTTAACAATACATAATAAAGACAAAGGCTTAGAGCCTCAAAGAGTTTACACAACGTTAATCTCCCAATCCAGCAATTGCCACTGTGTGGCTGGGCTGGCACTAAGCAGAAGCACATGGAGGCTATGCATTAATTGCTATGCAAATGAAATGAGTGGGTCACAAGTTCAAAACAGACCAAGGAAGGCTGTTAAAGCATAGAACCTTTTTGCACAGGGTGCTGGGGAAGATAAAAGCTTGTGCCTTGAAGCTCTCTAAGCTCTACTCTCTGTCCAGCTTGAGCCAGACAAAAAAAAAAAAAATCAAACCAAATGAGAGCTTTCAGCCTTGCACTGCAGTGAAGGTGAAGAACTCTGCCCTCAACACTCCTCTTAATCCAGGAAACCATAACCCTACTACCAAAGCCCTGCAACCAGTGTTGGCTTTTTTAGGCCCCCCAGAAGCCGTTCATAGCCCTTATCCCTCTTGTAACTGTAGGTGCCATGATTTACTCCCCCCCGCAATACAGATGAAAGAAGTAGCATACAAAAAAAGCTGAAACACTTGCATATATAGGCACATTTTGCCCCGAACACCAGGGATAGAGCTATCTACGGAAAACATACATGGCTCACATCTCTGCTTCATCTTTCTTACGTTCAAAGGAGCCCTTCAGTTTTGCAAATATACAAGAAAATGAGCATTCTCTGCTTCCTCAGCCAGGTCTTCTGCTTCTGATCTGCCCTATTTCTTGCTAGGAAAGGATGTTTTGCTCTCCCTTTCTGCTTCCCTTCTTTCAAAACTTTACAGAACTCCTTGCTAGGTAACTATTCCTAGCTATCAAGTTCCCAATTAGGTGATTTGACCATCAGTGACAATATCATCTGTTTTTCCTATTATGAGCAGGCTCTGCTCTATTAGCTGTGTCCTTATGATCACGTCCATCATAAAAGGACACACACTTTAGGTAATATAAATTTTATCAGGAACACACACCAAACTTCCTAAAAACCCCAAACCCATTATGGACATACTTCATTCAAACATCATCTTCCAGCATATTAGGATAATATTTAAATAGATAATACCAGTTTTCTCTTCCCCAAAAGCATAGATTCGCTTTCTCAATATCAAGTAATTATAATATCTGGACAGGTTTCCTGTTTGTTGTTAAGTCATCGGTAAAACACAGATTACAGTGCAGCTGGTAAAACACAGATCTGATCTAATCACGTTGACCCATGCCTGCTAGAGAATAAAGCATGTCAGAATTCTGAGATGATAAAGTTAGAACCTACTTTTCACAAGATGTCAATATTGCAGCTACATTTACCCATTATTTTATTCTAATAGCACAGAATACATCTGTCTTCTCTTGCTTTATGGAAAGAACATTTACATAGTGACCAGATAAACTAAAAGCAAACACTTATTTTCCAAGTCTGCATATTCTCTATCCACAACGAAGGTTGCTGTCACACCGATACCTCAGCACATAAGGTGAACAGACAAAGGAAAAGATTAAATATACAGCAATACAGTTTAACCACAAAGTTGCAGTCTTTTAACTCTTATCTTATTAATGTATCTATCTACCTGCATCTGTAAATACGTTCCTTTTTATCTGTGCATGGAATAGCAAAGATAGGAGTTACAAGAAACCCTTACTTGCAAGAGATTTAACCCATTTTTAATACCATGAACCTACTAAGCATAAAGCACATTTTTCTTTACCCACAATTACTGCTTTTTCACTTATGTGCGATCAAGTCATGTGCATATCATATAAAATGACACATGACTCATTTAGAGAATTTGGCTTTATGTGCAAGAACCAAACATGGTATCAGCTGTTTCAGCAGTATATCTCCTAATGCCTACAACTCTCCATGAGACTGCACTAGTAATACATTTATAATAGGCAACACAAACCACTGCAGAACATAAAAATTAACTGAAATTATACTTACTGTAACCTGGGAAGCATCCATGAATTGTAGGCCAAAGTAATCAGTCTCCACAAGGTCCAGATGATACACAATCTGGTCAAACAACTCCTGTCCCTTTGCATTTTTCTGTAACAGAAAAGAAAGTGGGTTTTTTTTTGTGAGTGGGTATGGGTTTGTTTGTTTGGGTGGGTTTGTTTTTAAGTTCAAATGGCGGAGAGGAGATGCACAATGGAAAATAATAGAATAAATAGAATTGCTATTTAGATAAAGAATTGTATTGACATTTCTTTTTATTTTCTTCAAGAAAGATATAGTGACATGTTGTTCCTGTCTGCAGCTATTCCAACAGCATCAGACTTTGCTCTCGAAGAAAACTTTCAAAGTTCGCTGTAAATCAAAGTGGAGGAGAGAAGGGAAAGGCTTATGTCCTGTAAGTGTCCTAAGTCACAGAGCCAACCTTTTAAATCCCAGGAAGCCAAATTCTCCAGTAAAAGCTTGCTTGACACACTGCCTGAAATCTGCTGGCTGTTGTCACATATCAACTGCAGTCATGCAGTGGTGCCATACCACCACTCAAGCTGCAAAATAAATTCTGGACAGCTTGAATACTTGAAGAGCGCTGTGAGGAAAATTAATGGGATTTAATAAGAATCTTTCAAGCATATTGCTAATTTCAATCACATTTACAGCCTTTAAATGGAGAAACAAAAAAAGGCAAAAAAAAAAGCTAAAATTCTTACTTGGCATACCATCTGAAACACATACGCATGGAAACAAAACTAACCCTAATCATGGGCTACAGGTACTAGTAGAAAAGTTAGCTGATCTTAAAGCTAAGCTGCATTGGCCCGTGTACTTATTCTGAGGTTAAGCCAAGAATTTAGATACCCAGTGCTTCAACTTCAAACACTAGAAGCAGCAAAGCTTGGAGGTTACAGGTGGGTGGGAGGAAGAGGGAGTAACAAACCAATTTTTCATGCAAATCCTGTTGTGTTACTTGGGGGAGGAAGTTTTCAAGTTCCTGAGCAAAAAAACCCCCTGGCTAAAAATACATGAGATGATCAGAAATCTCAGTAAGAGACTGAAACTACAGGTGTATTTTATACAGGAAAGTATGGATCTGGAACCACTTTTGTGCCTGCTATGCCTCACATACCTTTGAGAATTTTTTTTTTTATTTTTATTTTTTAAAGCTCTAACATATTAGGTATTCCGTCTTCATCCCAAAATGTAGCAATATTCACTGATTTCAGCTGAAGGAGAGCTAAATAGCATTCAGTTCCTTTAGTTTGGCCTTCGGCACAAAAGCAGCATCAATTGTAACATGCAGAGCTCCTGTTCAGGATTCCAAGCCGTCAAAAATCTGTCTTCTCCAGCAAAAGACAAGATGAAGAGTTTCACCACTCTCTATTTTTCCAAGAAGGTCAAGCAAGCTTAGGTGTAGGTAGCAAATTTTATTTGAGTTTTTTGAGTTTCGGTTGGCTGGTTTGTTTGTTTGCTTTTTGGTTTGGTTTTTTTTTTTTTTTTTTTTTTTGCTAACAAAGCAGAAGCACAGAAATTGAATCTTATCAAATTTCAGGAACAGCATTAGGAGCTCCATTAAAACAAGCTGCATAAAAACTTAAAACAATCATTAAGTTATCATCATAAGATACTGATTTATTATTGTTGGGGGCAAGAGGCGAATAATAGACATTCTTAACCAAAGTTCAACATGCTATTGAAAGCAAATGAGAATACAACAGCTTCTTAAAGCAGTACAATGCTAAGAAACCATCATCTTTAGATGTACAATAATTGCTATAAACCAAACAAAAAGTTTGTTAAAAAGTATCCAGAACATATTTTCTCATATGTAGTAAATTCAGCACTTGTTAAAAGAAGCCAAACCAAAGCACAACAGAAATTAAACTGACTCGGCTCAAATGAGGGAGCAGAAAACCCTCCAACGCAATACAAAATTATTTTTTATATTGCCTCTCGCAGAGGCGATCAGCTCCAGTGCAGGTGTGTTCCGCAGCAGAGCAGCAGATCCCGGGGTACAGGGTGGTTTCTTGAACTGGCGAAACCCCAGGGAGCACAGAGACCCGCTGGGAGCTGGCGGCTCTCACGAGGGCAGCTGATGAGGCCTGGGTAGGGACAGGGGTAACGGCAGCCGCCCCCCGCTCCCACACAAGGCAGCCCCAGGGAGCGCTGGCGACCAGGGCAGCGCGCGGCAGTATGTGCGGGAGGGTGTCTCTTCGACGGAGAGACGTTCCACTGGCCAAGTGGGAGACTTGGTGTACACATAACTGTGCACCGTTCTGTGACCATCTGCACAGGTCAAGGGCACTCATCCTACCTGACCCTCAAGGCAGAATGGTGGGCACTCGTCTGAGAGCAAAGGCCACAGCTCCAGCTTTGGGGTCTGCACCATCTACCCCAGCGGCGGCTGATGCCTCCAAGCAGACAGAGCTACTGAAGGGAGAGGCCGCAGTGCAGGCCTCAGACTACAGGGAGTGCCTAGACCTCTCCCCTGGGGCAGGGACAGGCGGCAGACCTGCCTGCAAAAGGTGTGCCCCGGGGGAGGACCCCCCGCAGCCAGGGGGCGGGGGGGCGG